GGCATGAAGAAAAAATAAAAAATCCATCTACTGTTTTAGTCCTCTGCCGTGTGACTACACACACTTGCCCAGAGGGCGAAGTGTCAGGTCGCGACTTCGTCCTTTCTGGACGAAGTCTGCCCGTGTGACCACACGGGGACCAAATGCCTCGAAAAACCCGAACCAAATACCTCAAATTTTTGAGACTTTTGGTCCCCGTGTGAGTATGCCCTAAGTGCTGATGATCCCGGAAATCGTCAGTCAGAAAACAGTCTAGGAGAACCTCCTTGTCGTCACCACTACCTGTAGCGCACAGCGGGTCTCTCATTGTGGGCCTCACTGCACTACTCTCGGAATGTGCAAAACGAGAGTGAATCTTCCGCTAGAGTATGGAAAGATACACGGCCATATATTTTCGTGTTTTGAGCATGTCGAGAGTAGTGCAGCGAGCCCGGTTCCCAGCACTTGCTGCTCCCCACGAATAGATTGGAGCTTGTCCCCAAAAAAAGAAGGAAAAAAAAAAAAAAAAAAGGAAAATGTGAAACACGAATAGATTGGAGGTTTTGTCCCCCCAAAAAAAGGAAAAAAAAAAAAAAAAAAACAGAGAGTATGCAGCGAGCCCCTGCATCCTCATTACTGCCGATTCGAACCCGTGATCTGAAAAAAAAAAGAAAAAAAAAAGCCCGTGATCTGTTCATGAACAACACCTCTGTGTACCGCTCACCAATTCCAACCCGTAATCTGTTCATGAACATGAACAGATACCTCTGTGTGCCGTTCAGCGACTCGGGCTCGGTGACCGGCTTATCGCAGTCTATACTGGTAGCACGCCGGCGATGGAACTTAGCTTAGCGTGGTGTTGCATCACTCGCCATCCGCCAAAAAATTTGAATGCAATGTTAATAATATCAAGAGATTCTCCCTGCTTATGGGAGGTACTCCCAAGGCTTCCTGGAAGGTGAATGTGCGTAGAACAGGGTGGGTCCTAGCGGATCAGACCGCTTCCTCTCAAAGAGTCCTGATCACCGATTACACTTCGAAAATGGGGTACGCCATCAGATCCAAGGCGTCCACTCTGCAGGCCAGTGTCTGGAACAATTGGAGGAAGAAGGATGAGGTCTCCACATGGCCCTCCTTCGGCAATACATGGGTCTGCCTATTTATATGAATAATACTCGACATAATGGAAGTCAAGGTGGCCGGACTCCAATGGCAACATCTGCACTCTTGCGTTCCCACAGCGGATTGGTGCATCAACAGAGGCATGGAAATCTCCCCACACTGCAATGTATGTCCGCACGAGGCACTGGAGGATTTCAACCACTTATGGTGG